CACATTTTACAGTATCGGCCCCGATACCCGATACCAGTATCGGTATCGGTGCATCCCTACTTTTTTCCATATGAAGAGAATAAAATGACAGAGGAGAGATGACAAAACGACTAAGAGAGAGCATCGCAGCAACAATAATGTTGTACAAGGACTTTTATTGTCTGAAGCCTATAAATAAATCAGCCCTTGGACTTTACGCCACGCGGCCCGTGCACCGGCAGACGAGGGGCCAAATCTGACCGACACATGATCCAGGCTTCACAACTTCAGCTGCATATAAAGTCAAGTCGACATTCATTTTTATCTCACGTTAAAACCAACCACAGCTGGCCAAAGTGCCACAGTTAGGACTGCAAAAATAAACACACAATAAAAGATAAAGTTAGGAGGCTGAGTGAGCTGTTCATGTGAAGCTTCAAACGCACACGAGATCACTTTGAGCTGTTTGTTTAACACAGGACAAACTGCAGCGGTGAAATCGAGGAATGGATGTGGATAACATCTTCTGCAGAGCTTTCAGAAAAGCCTTCGACCATATATGGTCGTGTAAAGGCATTTCCTAATGCTTCCACCAGCAGGCACGGTGCTTTAGAAAATTTGGAATTAATCAGAGCAAATAACTAACAGATGTTTGCACAGCGAGCAGATAAACGTGATTAAAAACAATCCAAAACTGACCTTTTTTTATTTCTGCTGCTAACAAGACCTGGACGAGTTGGACCTGCTCTTGTTCAGCTAAACTGCAGCACAACATAAAACAACAGAAAAGATCAAATCCAATAACTTACCTGAGCTACATCTTCAAAGTCGTCGTGTCTCTTCTGCAGGGCTCGGGCTCTGTGGAGGGATTTCCCGACGCCCGTGTGTTTGCTGAGGAAAGCCTCGCCGTGGTTTTCTATCCAGTCCATCACCTGGACGGGAGAAAACACCTTCGTTAGATCATCCCCGAAGACACAGATTTAAGGTCACCTGCTAAACCTCTCGTTTCTGCTTCCAACTCTTATTCTGCCGACATGTGTAGAAATACACAGAATGGTCTCAGAGCTCATGAATAAAGAATGAAATCAATGAAACCTTCATGATCTGGGTGGGAAATGTAGGTCACTGCAGCTGAGGAGAACAGGATGTCTCCATGCTATGTTTTTCATATTTCGTATGTTATGAGCTGTTAGCTCTGTGGCTTTTGTAGCCTTTTCTCCCCTGGACAGTAACCCCAGTACTGGTCCCAGTTCATCAGACTGGGAATAAACACGTTTTTGGCCTGTAAAGGTTTGAGAGCCACTAAAACTCTGACTAAAATAATTTGCTGAAAGAAATTGTGGTTTCTTAAAATATATTATTGGCTATTAAGTGGCATAGTGGTGGTCCCTTCGTTCCACAAGGGGTAGTGGGTGACCTGCCTGTGGAATTTCAATGTACAGACTCCAGAGTCAACCTGCACCTCCACAGTTTGGTTAGCTGAGAAAAATCCTACGAGTGTGTAGTTCCCTGCAGCTGACTGGTTACTTGTTCACTTGATGACGTCAGAATGTTTCCACTGCTACACACTGCTGTGTGCCATGTAGGGGTGGGGGAAAAATTGTTACTGTGTAGCATGGTGATATTTTGTTTGCTAATAATGTATGGATACAGGGACAGCAGAAATCGATATTTTGTTACAAAAAGGTTTTTGTGCTCTGACTTCAGAGCATGTTGATCCTTTTTCTGAGCAAGAATCCTGACATTCCTTCACTGTCCAAATGTGTTTAACTTGTTTTTGGCAGCAATAAACATGACAGTTTACTTATTTTAATTTAAGACATGTTTTATTTTAATTAAGTTTAAAACTTTTTTATTTAATGTAAAATTATATTTTGTTTTAATTTACTTTCAAATTCTTCAGTTGCTGAAGGGGCTGCATAGTTTTCATAAACTGCATAGTTCAGAATAGCTATAATTGTACCAGATGGTTGATTCAGTTAAGTTGGACTAGACTGTAATACAAACCGTTCAGTTTGTCAACAATCAAACTGAAATGAGAGAAAGACTGAGTGTGAGACTTTGATATTAGAGAAAATGAATATTGATAAAGTTTACCTTTATGTGCAGAATCTGAATATCGCAAAATATTTTTAAAAATTGCAATAATATCGTATCGTGCGTTAAGTATTGTGATAATATCGTATCGTGGGATGTATGGTGATTCCCACCTCTAGTGCCATGTAAGATCAAACAAATCAATGCAATGTAATCAGAGTTTGGACATGAAACCAAATGTTGGATCTCTCACTCATTACTCTTTGAGTCTCCTGCAGGACATATATATGTATATATAGCTGTGTAAATACAGTGACAATAATTTGAAGACATTCAGATGTCCAATAATAAATGGAAACGAGGTGCACGGTGTACTAACAGAGGCCCATTCTTTCCATTAAATGTTCATACTGAAATATTGACATGTCTTCATTTCTGCATGTTACGCATGACTGCTGCAATAAAATATGAATCCAGGCAGCCTGTCTTCTATCCAGTAAGACCAGCAGCTCAGAAAACCTCTGGATCCTAAGGATTAACATCCAGCCTGTTGCACATTAGCAAATGATGCGTTTCAAGGCCTTGAAGCAACAGCGTGCACTCATGATGTCAGTGCAGCAGGTCCAGCTGGAGCCGCAGAGAGGTCAGCGTCGGGTCACGATGCACACAGACTGAAACTGCAGCTGGACTGTCTTTGGCGATCCACTCAGCCTTCACGTCTGCATCTCTCACTCTTCATGGGGTCATGTATATCCTGTAGCATTAGCACTCGTGGAACAGCCTTTTTTAGTGATTCATGCACGATTGTATAAAGTCGCTTCTCACTTTCTGTGCCTGTGCCTCTCTCTCTGGGGGCTCATAGAAAGTGATGCATGACAAGCACAACTTGCAAAGCTCTGCTTTAAGTGAATTTATAACCCACTGATATGATCTCTTCTTCAGTCTGTCTCTTTGTCTTCTTACTTCTCTTAAACACTCTCCCACAGTCTCCCCAGGGTCAAATAAATATTTGCATGGCGCCAAAACTTGGAGCATTCATCTGTGAGTTTGCAGCTCTAACTCGCTCTGCCAAGGCCTGTTTGTACATACACTAAATGCATTAGAGCTGCAGACACATCAGGCCTGTGCAAATGAATTCAATGTGCTGATATGTGTCTGTCCTCCAGAAAAGTTAAAGAGTGTTTTTATATTTCCCCCAAAGAAATATAAAAACACATATGTACAGCTGGGCCTTGCATGAAAATTCAACAAAGTGGGATTCGTTAACAAAACCTCCTGTACTGTGCGAAAGCTTCACCACACATCATCACACTGACCGACCTGGACAAGCAAACGCTGGCACCACCTGGACCTGCATGTTGTCAGAGCCGAGCTGGTAAATGCATTAGTGATTCACCGTCCCAACCACCTGTGTGTTTATAGCCAGCTAGCTTTCATGTGTGAGGTTCATTTGTAGAAGCTCAGACGTTCAGTCTCACTGAATAACAGCTTCAAGGATTTGGAAAGCTGCACGGAGCTCGCACTTCCTTACAGCATAGCTCTACACTCAGACGTGGAAAATACACACGACTGAAACATGGAGTGACGTGCAATGCCACCCCTCGCTTTCTTTATTTAATAAAAATAGGAAATACTAACAGTGATTCGGTGACACACTGACTGCTTCAATAAAGGCCATGACTGAAAGTGCTTCACTGTGTTGCTTTCACTTGATGGTTTATTCCTTGAGTTTGGGACCTTTTTATGCCTGCATGACTCATAGGTCATAGGTCATAGGTCAGCGTTGAGTGGATTACTAAAAACTCTCTTTAGTCCACTACTGATTTTAAAGGAAAACTATTGCTACATTAAAGTCTAAATATAAAGAAATGTGGGGGAGGCTGAGACTTTTGCACAGTAATGTTTAACCATGTACCTGCTGTTCCTTACTGAACCTATAGGTGGCACCGTCTGAATTGGAGCTGCATGTGTTAAAGCCCAGCACACTACTGCTGAAGTTTGATGCAGAGACACTGAAAGTCGTTTCATGTTAGTGATTTTATTTAACGAAGAACAAAACCTGCTCAGGCAGAGATGAATGGACTGATGTAAATGGTAAATGGTCTGTATTTGTATATCGCTTTACTAGTCCCTAAGGACCCCAAAGCGCTTTACATATCCAGTCATCCACCCATTCACACACTGGTGATGGCAGCTACATTGTAGCCACAGCCACCCTGGGGCGCACTGACAGAGGCGAGGCTGCCGGACACTGGCGCCACCGGGCCCTCTGACCACCACCAGTAGGCAACGGGTGAAGTGTCTTGCCCAAGGACACAACGACCGAGACTGTCGGAGCCGGGGCTCGAACCGGCAACCTTCCGATTACAAGGCGAACTCCCAACTCTTGAGCCACGATCGCCCCTGGTGCTTGGTTGTATCTCATTCCTGGTGCCTCACTATCTGACGCCAGAGCACTTTGTCACCACGATGTTCCCACCACGCACGTCTGAGGCAGAAACAGAAGGCAGCAGAGAACGTGGGGTACGTGTCTGCACAGTTCATCACACACATCGGTCGTTGCTGTCGGTGATGCACGTGTGTCAATGTGTCAAACTGGAGCCACAGGGCTGGGCTGACTGTGGACCGTCCACACTAAGTAGAGTCTCCAGTGGGGCCCATTGTAGGCCTGCAGTGTATGTATGCACAGCATGCCCACACTCTAGATGTGGACTGCAAGCTTCCCCACAGGAAGCCATGTGGGGGGACCCCCAAAACTGCTGTGGGCTTTGCATTGGCACATTGGAGTTCCCTGCCCACACTGCCCGACAGTTACAGCCACTGCTACCCACTGTTGGCCAGCACGGGGACATTTGCTAGGATGGGATGAGAATATTTCCATCAAAATCAAAACTGTAATCATTCTGGCTGATATCTCCACCATGTAGACATGTCCAGGCATGCGCGCCATGATTTCACCACACAGCTCAGGAGATCACAACAGAGGCGCAAGTACAACGGGGCAAAACGGGTCTTTCACTGATAGATGGAAAAATAGCAGCCCATCTGAAAAAAGAAGCTGGTCTTCAATGAGAGACTGACCAGAAGGATGGAAATATAACGTGTTTATGGATCTGTTCTCAGAACCTTTTGGTCACGCCCTGAACGCATCGTTGCCGTGTGTTTACCTGCTGGACATCTTGCTGGAATACGCAGAGCTGCAGTCTCTGGTGCAATCGGACCTTTCGATGTTGCCAAATGTTCTCCAGACGCCGCTGATGGTGAAGAACCTCATGAACCACGTCCAAGATACAGTGCACCTACAGAGAAACACGAATGTTAGCTTAATCGGTAGATGGTGTCGGCATGTTTCCTGTTGGTAACACAGGGATACTGACCGCTTTGGAGTAATTTGCAGTGGCTGTAAGAGATTCCGAGTTGCCTGGACTGAGAGGCCTCTGGAGGACATCCAGCAGGGCTTTACCATCCTGACTCACCTGCAAACACATATATCACATGAATCACGTGAGCAGCAGTCAGCAGTGCTACAACTATAAAAGTCTTAATATGTTGACATTTCTAGGATTTAAATGGTTGTGGTCATTACAATAAAACAAAAAAACGACTGCCACCTACAAACTGTTCAACGCTCAAAGAGCTTTATACAATACGCCCCATTGAACCAGCTGCTGTTGTGATTTGTCACTATGTAAATAAGACTGAATTGAATCTCTGACCACCAATCACAGGATTATCCTCTGCGAACTGTCTTATTTGTGACACTTTAACAGATTCCCCGATGACAGTGCTTCTTCGTCCACCATGCTTTGCACAGTGTGCACAGAGGTCACCAACTTTCAGCATCAAATGCTAATGACCTCCAAACTCCATGTGGCTCTTCAGATTAGTTCGAGAGCAGTTTGTAGAGAGCTTAATGGAACGGGTTTCCATAGCTAAGTAACTCTGAGGCTTTACGTCACCAAACACAACGCAAACCATCCGATGCAGTTGGGTAAAGCACACCGGCGCTGGACTCTGGAGCAGTGGAGACGTGCTCTTTGGAGCGTCAAATCATGCTTCTCCGTCTGGCGATGGATGAATCTGGGTTTGGAAGCTGTCAGGATAATGGCACTTCTGACTTGAGCATGGAGCAAGTTAGATGTGGAAGAACTCTGGCTAGCACAGAGTCCTGACCTCAACCCGATAGAGGGTGAAATAGCCGGGACCAGACCTTCTGTCTGACCTCGCAAATGCGCCTCTGAGAAAAATGGTCAAAAGTTTCGATGAACGCTCTGCTAAACATTGTGGAAAACAATCACTCTGAGAAGAGTGGAAGCTGCTATAGCTGCAAAGGGTGGGCCATTAAAGCCTTATGGATTAAGAATGTGATGTCACTCCAGTGCATCTGCACACGTATGTGGGTGAAACCAGAAACACACATTTTCCTTAAAGAAATAAACGTGTAAGCAAAAATAAACTTTGGGGCAACAGTCAGATGTCCGTACTTTCCTCACCTTAAGAACTCCAATACCAGTGTCCTGAACTGCAGTGACAGCAGTCATTGTTCCAGTTGAGTCTGGCACACAAACCAGTTTGTTCTCAGCTGTGGGTTCTGGTTAGACTGGTGTTCTAGTGTGGAACAGATCTGAATATGTGGCAGAACAAGCTAAACTGTCCCAGCAGCTGCAATCCATCATGGACTGTATGACTGTGAGACTCGAGACTACTCACAACCATAGGCAGTGTTGGTCAAGTTACTTGAAAAAAGTAATCAGTAACTAATTACTGATTACTTCCCCCAAAAAGTAATCCCGTTACTTTACTGATTACGTATTTTCAAATGTAATTAATTACTTAGTTACTTAGTTACTTTTTAAAACACGATTTACAACCTGAATAGGTGATAAAGTGATAGATCTTTCAGCCCAATTCTACTTTTTCTACATAATCATCATACAAAATGTAATCAAATGGAAAAGTCTCTTTTTAAAACTTGTTTTATTCGTTTTAATCTTTTAACTTTATGCATCAAGCAAAAATTAAATTATCTGCAACATTCTCTGACTGGAAGAAATTAGTTTAACATTTAAACCTATTTTCTGCACATTCCATCACATAAAATAAAATATTTTTTGTGTTTACACTCAGTCTTTCAAATAGATGCAAGTAAAACACAGCAGAAAATAAAGTCAAAGACTAGCGGTCCTGTTGCTCTATTTTCACCTGTAAAGCAGGAGTGGGGTAGGCGGAGGTTTACCCTGGTGCAGGTGTGCCGCGGTCAGTGGAAGAATCCACGAGTTTCTCTGTGAGTTTCCCATTACGTCGTAGCTACTCGGTGCTTGTTTGGAAGTTTAGGGTTTTTTTCGCTGTAAAAAGAAGTTTTCTTCCCACGCACAACGGACACTAATGTTTTTGTCACTTTTTATGGAATCAAACTCAAAGTAAGGTCAGTACTTCCACGCTTTAAACGCTGCACGCTCATACTCTCTCTGCACTCGATATATGATCCATTGTTGATCTGCACACAGCTGTTGTCACGAACGTCGCACTCGCTTACGTCACTGTCATGAGACATTCTCGCAAAAACATCACGGTTTTAGTAACGCAGTAACGCATTGTTCCTACGGGAAAGTAACGGTAATCTAATTACCGTTTTTGCAATAGTAATCCCTTACTTTACTCATTACTTGAAAAAAGTAATCAGATTATAGTAACGCATTACAAGTAACGCGTTACTGCCCATCTCTGGCCATAGGGGACCACTGCAGCACAAATCCAACAACTAAAATGTCAAAAAGATGTCAAGAGATTATGTGTCGCAAAATATATCTGATGCACCTGTACAGCCCACTCAAGAGAAAGGCTTCTATAAATGAATTAGCATGGCGCATTTGCATAAGTATGCAAAAACAATGTTTGTCACATGGTTGTACAGATTATTGAAAACCAGAATCCAAAGGATCTGAATCCACTGCAACTCTCTGCAGGCATGACAGATCCCATTTTTGTGTGATGTTTGTCAGCTTCAGCTGGCGCTAACATTCATTTGAGTGAGTAGGTTGGGCGGTTTACCTCAGTGTACGCCTGGGTCACTTGCTCATAAAGGCTCTGGTGACGGTGAATGGCAATCTCCAACTCCTGCATCTCAGAGGGTAACCCGCCCTCGCTGCAGACTTTACACCAGGTCTCCACCTCAGACAGAAACTTGTGAATGAAACAGACACACAGATGGATTCATACAGCGTGTGCATTCATGAGAAGATTCATTCAACAAAATGATGTTTCTCTGGTTCCTCGACAGTATCAGATATTCTGGGCCTTGGTCAGCTTTGGTCTGTTCTCTATAACCATGATCAGTGTCCTTTTGTTGCTGCATCACTACGGTAATGCTTCAAACTCTTGATGAAAGTAGAACAGTTTTTTTCATTTTTAAGGTGGTAGTGTTGAGATAAAGTCCTGCAGTTTGGACAAATATTGGGCCTAACATCACCTCAGGCAGGCCAAGGTCAGCCAGACTCAGTGCCTGCTCACATGAGCTATAGCTAGGCTAATACTGTTCTACACGTTTGGTAAAACTCATCAAATCTGCCTCTGAACCAGGTCACTGTCTCAACCAGGGTCAGAGCAGGGAGGCAAATTTCCAAAAATTATAGCATGCTATATATTACAAGATTTTCCAAAGGAGAATTCATGGATAACTTTAAATGTAAATATTAGGGGTGCAATGATACTCGTATCGATATTGAACCGTTCGATACAG